TGTCTACATTCAGAAATACTATGTCCGTATCGTCGGCAATAATTACACCATTTTTTGAAAGATGGTTTGCCTTTAAAGTTTGGGTGTTTTTCGTAAATATTGAGTATTTCAGTGATTTTTTCAACGAGATCTGTATCTGATTCTTGTATATTATTTATATTTGTGGAAGCTGTTTCAATTCTGTTAACGTATTGTAATTTCAGATTTTCCGTTTCTTCGAGTTTCATTGTGATTTCTGCTTGTTCTAGTTTGTCTACTAGTTTTCGAAAATCTAAATCGGGTTCTCGAATTGACGAAGGATGGGATGCTCTCTTTTTTATTGCTATTTTCCTTAATTGTGGCGTTAAGGTCATCATTAAGATTTCTGTCATCTTTGTGTTTTTATAATCATGTGTATTTAATTAATATGCTTTTCGAACTAGTGTTTCGATTCGTACTGCTAATTGCTTGATGGTTTCGTTTGGTAATCTGCGAATTTCATTACATAAAACTCTTTGTTGTTGTTTGTTTCTTTCGGAGTCAAACATTTTTGAAAATTCTTGTGTAAATCTTTTCCAATTTGATTTTATTTCTATAGGCAATACTGAAAACCATTTTTGGGCTGCGCCATCTAGAGTTGTTTGTATTAACGCTGTGCGTCGATGTATCCAGTTTTGATGTAGTGGCGTATTAATTGGTTCAGGTCCTATATTTAAAATCAAATTTGCTGTGACTGCATTTAAATAGTCTTCTACAGAATATTCAGGGTCTGTTCCTGTGAATACCATTAAAGGTTTATTTGATGTTATTGATGATCCACCCATAAGGTATGGATTCTTCGTCATTTGTAATGATTCTGCTGCATTTGGCATTTGAGAAAAATTTGAGAGTTGATTTCTTGTTATTTCGTGTTGTTGAAGATAATATGGGAGTGGTATTTCATTTTGCATTTGTGCTGGTTGGTACGAGTTTGCAATCATTGGGTTTTGTTGCTGAATTGGTTGAAAAGATTTATTATTTGGGTTTTGTTGTTGAATTGGTTGTTGAATTTGTGTATCTATTGGTTGTGGAGAAAAATTTCTATGATATGTATGTGGTTTCTGTATTCCTTGTCCACGATATTCTTGATTATAGGGTGTAAATATATCTGGTTGTAAGAAATCATCATCTGAGGATAAGTAATCCATTTGATAAGATGTTTGTTTTTTATTTTTATTTTGTTGAAAAAATGGATAGTTTTCACTACGATCCTGTGGAGGATGTAAATTTGTGTGGAAATTTACTGAATTAGGTGGTGCCATTGGGTTATCCCAGTTTTGAGATCTTGTATAATTACTAAAATTTTTTCGTGGTTGATATATATTGTTTTTGATGGATGTGTGTAATTATAATTATGGTCTGCAAAGTTGTTTCTAGTGAACGTTTTGCGTGTTTTTGGCGGTATTGTCATGGGTCTGTATGTTTGGTAATCCATGTGTGAATATTTTGGGGCAACCGAAGGTTTAACGGTTGATTGTAATGTTACTTGTGTTTGTGAAGAATTTGTATTTCTTGGTGTTGTTAAGTTTGGACGTATTGGTGAAATACTTTGTTGTGTAGTTGTTGTGTGTACGATTTCTTCATTTATGAAGTGTGATGGTGTCTGGATATCTTGTTGAGTAAGATTCCTAGTTCCATTGAGGTTTTCATTGTGTATGACTGTAGAGTTTAAACTATTATTTTGCATATCGGGTAAAAATGTATTATAATTTAATGGTGTTGCATCAATGGTTAATGGTATTACTCGTACATAATCTCTTACATAAGATATCGTACTTATTGCTTGACTTGAGATTGATTGTGGGAAGTTTATGAATGCGGGATGAGACCATTCGGGGTCCCAAACATAGTCTGATTGTTCTGTGATGGCAGTATCATCGTTTGAGTTTTGGGGTCTAAAATTTTTTCTTGCTTGTGAAATTAAATCAATATTATGTGTGAAATAATCTATTATGAACCATGCCAAGATTTTTTGTAAGTCGTGTTTTGTATGTTGTGAAACTTCATCTTTCGTGAAATTTTCTTTAATTATATTTAGAAAACTAGAGAGTAGTGTGATTTCATGTCGTACTCTTATATGTTTAGATGTTTCTGTCGGTGAGACATTTGGTATCTGGATTTCGTTTTCTAATATCGAGATATAACTATATATTATCGCAAAAACTTCATTGGTGAATATGGAGTTTGCTCTTTGTGAGTTATGATATTGGATGCTTTTTATATATTCTGAGAATATTTTTGAGAATTCTAAATCAAGGTCGTCTGTTTGAATTATATATTTACTGTGATTCTGGTTTGGTGAGCTGAATTCTATGGAGTAGATTCCGTATTGTTGTGTTAGGTTACATATATCTTTTAGATAGTGATCGATAATTTGTCTTTTGATTTTTACATCTGGAAACTCTGTTTTACATGGACTGATTCCTGGTTCAAACAAATTTAACAGTAAATTTTTGCAGAATATATGCTGTCCTCTATCAGTGGTTGCATCTACGATAAAGGGGAAAATATCATCATCATCTGGACTTTCTTCACCTGGGGTGTGCGTTGAGCTCATTTTTTCGTTCGATGACTGTTAATATGTAATTATCAATGTGTCTAATTGGTTGATTCCAGTTGTATAAATGTACTGGTTTGTGTTTATACTGCTTTTTTATTCTTCTTTTTCCTCTTTTTGATGAATTTGAAGTTGTTTCTGAGTCAGAGAAATATAATTGATCGTGAATTGGGCAATTTTTATCTATTGATTCTTTTAGTTTATAAAGTTCGTCTAAACTGTTGGTTTCTGATTCTGAAAATGCGTTTCGATTTTTTGAAAATCTTTTTCGTGTTATTTGTCTTTGTTTAGTTATTATTTTTCTCTTTAATGTTTGTCGTTTTGTTCTAATGTATCCAACTGTTTGTGTATGAGGTGTGATTACAAGGTCGTATTTTTTGTTATTTATTTCACAATTGTGTAAAACGATTGTTTGTTTATTTCCTAGGTTTTTAAATGACATAAGGTTTAGGATGACGGATGCAAAAGGTTGTTAAATGATTTCTATTTGCTTAAACTGTTAGTCCTTACGATTTTTTTGTTAGCCTAACCTGGGTCTATTTGTTCAGGGTTGGGGAGGAAAGTATATCGATTCCGAAGAATGATTTTATACTTTCTCGTGGCTAGTATAAGCTAAGGTGTTAACTTACTTAATCTTACTTAAGGGTAGTGATTGTGTTCAGGGTTGGAGAATAGTAAATCGATCCACAAGGTTCAGGTATAATTAGAACGCGAGTAGTTCGTTAGATACTATTTTACACTTACTAAGTTTAAGATTTATCCTGGGTCTGGTAAGAGGGGGGATCAAGTGAAGGATGAATAACCGAAGTTCTTCACTGTTTATCCTAATTTGAATGATTAGTTTTGTTCAAAAATTTCTATTAGTCCTGGGTTTTTAGAAAGGGTTGGATAGTGAATCGACGTTTGAGGTCGTTAGACACTCGTTTAAGTGGGTGGGGGAGAACAAAGTTGTTCTTTTTGATCCAAGGATAGGCCTTGATGATCAAGTTTTAAATTTAATTAAATAGAAAATGATTTAAGATCCAAGGATAAGCCTTGATGATCTGATTTTAAAATTAAGTGAATTTAAGTTTAAAATGTTTTAAATTTGTGTTAAGAAAAGATTTAGTATTTTTATGATGTTAGTGAGCTTATGATTGCTGTTATGTTTAGGCGATGAAGCTGGAACAACAGGATGATTTATAATTACTAATCATTTATTGTCATGCTACTAATTTTTATTTTTGTTTTTCAATAAATATTTTTCAAACATGTTTTGTATATTACTGCAGAATTTTGGAAAACGATCTGAGATCTTTTTATCAATCGTTATTGTATATTAATAATTTTGTTTAGCGCCTGAAATGATTTTGAAGATTGACTTCAAAATTTTATGTTTGCAAATGAAAATCTAAATTCATTGCTAGTAGTATTCTAAATACAAAAGTTTGTTCTGGCTTTTGCCGAACTATCATATAACTATATGGTAAGTTTCTGCTTTGTCGTATGTCGTCTCTGGTTCGAGGTCTTCTTCCAATTCCGGGTAGTTCTGTTATCGTTCGGAATATTGGCTCTGATCTATTGAGTCGTAGAGACATTTCGATTAAATTATTGTCGTATAACATTTTGTAAATGTTTTGTCTAATTTCTAATCTATTATTGGTTAATGCTAAGCTATTAAGGTCTTGTTCGAGACTTATGGTCGCACCAGATGAGTTAGGACCGAAGTGTATAACTCATAGAGTAATTTCGGATAGGGTACACCGTCTGCTCGTCACGCTATCTTATTTTCGGCCGGATAGATTCGTGCAACTTCTTAGTCTAATACCGATCCTAATCTTACTCTTATACTATCTAGTCTCAGGTTGTTTAACTAGTCTCTGCTAGGCTCAATAGATCTAGGGTATACTGGTTTATTGCGGCTGCTGAAGTACTCGGGAGAGTTCAACTAATTTCTAAGTTAAATTCAAATCTCTCTGGTGCTGAAATTACAAGTAATTTCAGCACTTACAAATAAGTGGATTGTTAGTTAGATGGATCATGATTGGTTAATATTAAATACTTTACATTGGTAAAATATCTAATTTATCCAATCATAAAATGTAGTTTAGATCAGGTTCCAAACGGTATCAAACCAGCAG